TAGCTAGATTATAGTTAAAGAAGGAAAAAAAGGAACCTTTTAGAAGACCCTGTTAATACCCTCCCCTGCCCCCTAACCTCTCATTCACAAATTTCTGAAAAGAGCTCGACACACTGCCTCAATTCCCACTCTAATCTGAACACTGCTCCCTTCAAAGTTGCCAATGGCCAACAAACCTCCAGCTCGAAGCCAAGTTCTGACATGAACTTGTGGCTGCCTTTGACAATCTGTCAATTCCTTCTTAAAACTCTCCCCAGACTGTGCCAAGGTCTCACTCTCCTGGTTTCCTCTTTCTAGGAAAACCACCTAGACTTTGGAACTAAAACAACACCGAGTAGTGCCTGGTATTACCCAACATGCCCATTCCTCCTAGGAGGTCATCTCATCCTCTCTGTCTCTCTTTCGCTTTTTGAGACAGGGTTACTCTATGTAGTCCAGGCTGGCCCTGAACTTTCAATCCTCTTGCCTCCGCCACTGGAGTACTGGGTTTATAGGTGGTGGCAGACCATCTAATACTCTAGGGGGAAGTCTTTGTTTGATTTCCTATTGCCTTTTTCTTTTTTTTTTTTTTTTTTTTTTTTAGAACTCAGGATCTTGCACTTTCCAGGCAGGCAAGCAAAGGCACCACTGAGCTAAATCCTGGCCCCCTTTTGACTATTGATTAGAATATTTTACAGCTCTTGAGAGTAGAAGCTAATTTATAAACATTTCATAACAAGTACATAATTGTTGGCAAAGAAAATGTCTTCTGTGACAGAATACTGAACCCCAGAGATTAGGGTTTCTTGCCTTGTAGGGCATTCACCTGTCTTGTGAAATCATTTTGATTTTCCCTTCACCAACCAATTCAACATTCATTCTCAAATTCTTTTTAACTAGTCTTCATATCTTACTTTTTTTTTTATTCAATGAATGGGTAAAACTTTGAAAGTTGAGTATGCAACTCAGTGGTAGAGTACTTGTCTAGCATGTGCAGGGCCCTAAGATTTGATCCTAGTACTGCAAAACAAAAGCAAAACTTGGGTATACTTTTTTTTTTTTTCAGTACTGGGAATGGAACTCAGGACCTTGCGCTTGTGAGGAAGGCACGGTGCCACTGAGCTATATGTTTTTTAACTTTTTGAAAATTATTCTTCACAGTATTTTAAATTCTCCATGGCTCCATTTCAGCAGACTAAACTGAGGATGGGTTTAGGGATGAGTTGGGTGACATGTTAGTCATTTTTCTTGTTGCTGGGACTCAATACCCAACATTAACAAATTAAAGTGGGAGAGGTTTATTGTTGCTTACCCCTCAGTCCATAATCAGCTGGCTCCAAAAGATGGCAGAGAGGCATGGCAGAGGAAAAGCTGCTCCTATTAAAGTAGGCAGGAAGCCGAGAGCAAAGAGAGAAGATACACCCTTCCAGGCCACAAGCCTCAGTGACCTGCCTCTTCAGACCAGGCCCTACCTCCTAACATGATACTCAGCTGTAATGCCCCTGTGAGTCAATCACTTTTCAAAAGCTCTGCCCATGAGTGCCTGAGGCTTCAGGGACACAACCAGATATAAACCACAACAGTAACTAAACAGGGAAAGGCACAAAGGGCTTTCCTGACAGGACCCCTAGTGTTTGACTTCTCTGGTTTGCCAGGTCTGAGGGTTGTTCTCCTCTGAACTGCACTGAGCTGCAATGTAGAGTCCTCCCTGTATTAAATCCTCAAGCAGCAGGGTTCCTACTGGGCACAAAGAAGAGCCTGCCCAGCCTTCCGGACTGGCCTCCTGACGTTCATAGCAGAGGGGGAATGATTCTTCCTCTTCCATCCCCAACTCCTACAGGCCTAAAAAACCAGTGGAATAATGGGGCCCATGAGTCACACCCATAGCCACCTCATGCACATTCTTTGAAATGATTTGTTATTTTTATTTATTTATTAATTATTATTATTATTATTTTTTTTTTTTTGGTACTGGGGATCAAAATCAGGTCCTTGCACTTGCGAGGCAGGTAGCAGAACCACTGAGCTAAATCCCCGGCTGCAATGATTTATTAAAAGATGCGCTCTACTCATTCAACCCAACTTTGAAACTACTTTATATTCCTTTCACTAAGCAGAGGCAGCCTTCTAATAAGTTCCATCTTGTATTTGTCTTTTTGTTTAGCCCCACTATAAGAAAAATTAGGATATGCTGCTTTACTTCTGCTGGCTCCTGCATCTACATATAATTTCATTTAACCCTCAAAACCTTCTTTGCAGATATGTAATACAGTTCTATTTTACTGATGAAGGAGCTGAGGCTTAAAGAGTTAAATGACTTGCCCAAGATTACTCTTAGCATCTGATTCTGCTCATGGTCTTCCTTGATTTCTAATTATTTATTCCTCCATAAGCAGATCTGGTAGGGCCTCAAAGACCCACCTTCCTCTTCCTCAGGTGGAAAGACAGGCCCAGAAAGGGTCTAGAACTAGCCCAAGGTTACACAGAAAGATGCAACATTAGGACTCAAAGCAAAAGTAGACTGGGATGCCTCCCCACACCACAAGCCTAGACACTCCCTTTTCCCAACCAGGCTCTTGTCAGAAGTATCTGCAGAAAATCAAGCTCACTATGCCCACGTTGCAAACGTAAGGACCAGAGTTCAATCCCAGGTACCAAAAAAAAGAAAGGAAGAAAATCAAGCTCACGGACCTGTGCTAGATGGAGGCCCCAGCAATCATGAAACTGGGGTCTAAGCTTTTGGGCAGGTCACTACTCTCTTGGAGCCTCGCTTCTTAAGTATATAAAATGGGTAAATTACTGGAAAAGTCGAAGGGGTCAGGGTTTACAAGATAATTAACTATTTGTTAACCTATGGATTGTCAAGAGGTGATAGCCCAAGGCTCATTCTGGGCTCTGGAGCTAGATTACCTGGACTCAGATCCACGTTTTGATTCCTTAAACAGCTTGTACTTTAGGTAAATTTCTATGCCTCGGTTTCCTCATATGTGAAATGAGGATAATAATAAAGAACGGATTCATAAGTTGTTGTAAGGGTTCAAAGGCTTGAAAATGTCTGGAACATAGCGTCCCACTGAAGGTAGCTTTGAGTACAGGTTTAGTCCTCGGGGGGGCGGGTATTTTGCAACCCCAGACTTAACTGGGTTCCTCCTGGCCCCGCCCCTGCCCCTACTCGGCCCGCCTTCTCACCAGATCCTACCCCAAGCCCGCTCGGGTTCCTCCCGCGTACCAGGGGGCAGTGGTGCGGACGGCGGCTTTCTGGCCGGTGTGGTGACGCTCTAAGGAGCAGCGGTGCTTCTCCCTAGCCTGTGGCGGCGGCGCTCTAGCCAGGCATTGTGCAGGGCAAATTCTCAGTGGTGCGGCCGGCGGGCAGCTATGGCGGCCGTACGCGGCCTGCGAGTGTCGGTGAAGGCAGAGGCCCCGATGGGTCCGGCTCTGGGGCTTCAGTCCCCTGAGGTGGAGTCCGGCTTGGAGCGTGGTGAGCCGGAGCCCATGGAGGTGGAAGAGGGCGAGCTAGAGATCGTGCCAGTGCGGCGCTCCCTAAAGGAACTGATCCCGGTACGGGCGGGGGTAGGGGGGCAAGGAGGAGGTTGCGGACCGAGTGCCTGAGCGGGCGGGGGCCGGAAGGGGAGGTGGCCGGCGTCCCACCCCGGGAAGTCGGGGAGGGAGAGGGGGCGCGGGCGCCGGGGGCAGAGGGACAGGCTTGAGGAAGACCCCGAGCGGGATAAAGGACGCCGGGGCGCCGGAAATGGGTGTTGAGAGGGCTGGAGGTGGGGAGATCGGAGAGAGACTTGAGGACAACAACCCGTCGCTACCCCTCGGACCCGGGTTGTACCAGGGAGTGAATGAGGAAGGGCTCAGGTTAAGATAAAGGGGAAGCCCCGGGCGGGAACAGAATCTGGAGCGGCCCAGAAGAAGCTCTTCGGTGGCGCCCGCATCCAAGTCTCCTTGCACCGGTGGAGTTGTGTCTGTTAAACATGGCACTCCTTTCTCTTGGGCAAGCTGGACTTGACAGCAGCAGACACTGTGTTACTGTTCTGACTTAAGGGGTAGTCTTGCTTCCGCGCATTTCCATTGCTGTGTAGCACCTGCACCATGGTACTAGCATCTGACCCGCAGTGAAATCAAAGTATCAGGACCCCATGGTCCTTCCTCTCTCTTTTACCACAGCACCAATGATGAGGGATGTTTTGCTGTGGTTTGGTAGTTCTATGTCCAGTCAGGCTTGGCCACCAATTTCACACATAAGTTAAAACAACAGCAACAACAACTATACGTCAGCAAATCTTGCTTTTAAACTGAAGTTATAGGAAAAGGCTAAGTTAGGATGCCTACATTTTACCATTTGCTACATTATGTCATTTAAATACCACCACAGTTGTGACATAAAAAACAACCTTTCGGTGAGTTCCAACATATATATGTATTCCATCACCCAGTGTATGTAAGCAAAGCTCTGCATGCCTGATCAGCCTCAAGATCAAACTCCCTCCTGGAGTTTATGTTCTAGTGGGGACACAGTAGATAAATGATTTCCATTAGTGTTAAGTTCTATGAAGAAGATAAATAATGTTGAGTAGAAGCTACAGGGGTGGAGTAGGTGTGCAGAGCATCAAGTAGAAGGAGATAGGATAGGCAGGGAAGTCCTCTCAGAGAGTGACATATAAACTGAACTGTAAATGACAAAAGAGACAACCAGGTGCAGATTGTAAGGGAATGGGAATGTTCCCAGCACTGACAACAAGCACAGAGGCTCTGAGATGGGATCAAGATTGTTTTGTTGAGAGAGCAGCATAAAAGATCAGGCAGATAAGCAGATAGCACGGAGGCAGCCAAGGCCCAGACAGGTCCAAGAAATTGTACATGCAATGTATATGTCGGAACTGAGACTTTGGTCCTCGCTCCATGTTCATATCTCTTTTTTATTGCACTGCGCTGTGTTTCCCCCAGGAGAATTCTAGGTGGGCTGGACTTTGATGGAGGCTTGTGCTCCACCTGGTGGCTTTGCATGGGCAATTTGTCCAGTTTGCATTTGGGGATAATAAATGACTATGCCTCATCTTTGACATTTTTCATGAAATCGTTTAGATTTTCATTTACATGGATACTTCGGTTGTTGGAATATTTAACATTTTAGACAAGCTCCTGTCTAGAAAAAGACTTCTTGTTAGAATGGTTGATTGCTACTATGGATTCATGGGGATGGACTTCTTAATGGGCGGTTGTCACAGGTGGAGAAGGGTTGCTGAAGAATAAGACTATTCAAAAAGAACCAGTTATTGGACTGCCTTTTGTTATGGGTTTTTCCTCAGTTGCTGTCAGAATTTTTCACCCTTCCTCTTTGTGTTAGGACACAAGCAGAAGATATGAAAACAAGGCTGGCAGCTTCATCACTGGAATTGATGTCACCTCCAAGGTAAGACATACCATGAATTATTCAGTTTGATAAGCTGGTGAACTTAATGAACTTGGTCCCTACGATTAGCAGAACAATAATCATTATCTCTTTTTGTATTTGTTGCCAGATTTAAAAATGTTTTTTAAATTTCTTGTTCTACAGTGATATTTCATGTATTCTGAAAACATCCAGGCACCATTTATGTATTTTTTCATCCACAAAAAGATAAAATCACTATACCTAGATGCGTTTACTCAGCCATTTCTAAGAAAGAATTCTGCACAAGGATGCTTTGTGAAAATGCTTTGTGAGGCTGGAGATTTAGCTCATGGTTCCACCACCTGCCTCGAAAAGGCAAGGTCTCAAGTTTAATCCCCGGTACCAAAAAAATGAACAAACAAAAATACTGTGTGTGGGGGCCAGGGGTTTAGTATACTGGTATCACCACCTGCCTCGCAAGCATAAGGTCCTTAGTTCAATTCCTGGTACCAGAAAACAAAACTATGTGTAGCTTGGTGTGGTGGCTCAAACCTGTAATCTCAGCACTTGGGAGGCTGAGGCAGCAGGTTCTTTGAGAGTTTGAGGCCAGCCTAGGCTACAGTAAGTTCAAGGCTAGCCTGAACTACATAGTGAGACCCTGCCTCAACAATAACAAAAACAAAAGAAAATACTATAGACATTCTTTAAAAATGTATTTTGTTTCCATTCAAATAAAACAAAACATGGAAAGCACCTAGTATATGATTGACCCTTAGTAAATGTTTTTATTCCTTACCAGTTGCAGACTTAGAAAAATAGAATTTCTTGGGCTGGGGATTTAGCTCAGTGGCACCAGGCCTGCCTTGCAAATGTAAGATCCTGAGTTCAATCCCCAGAACCAAAAAAAAAGAAAGGAAAATAGGATTTCTTGATTGTGTATCTGTTTAAACTTTGAAGGCCAAGTCAACTGAATTATTCTCAGTACCTGAGTATTTTCCCTTTTATCTAGTGATTGCTGTTACCATAGCACCACTTTCATTTTAACACCTCAGGATGAATCAAACCTGTTGTTTTCCTTATAACAGTCAATATATGTCATTTTAATCCAGGTTAGACATTTTCCCCCTTATTTAAATGTGCATAGTTAAATTTGGAATACAACTTTGAATTACATTTCTGAATAATAGTAAGTATTGCTATGTCGGATGTCTAAAAGCAAAAATAAAAATATATCCTACTGGCCTTTTTTATATTTCATCTGTATTTTAATGTGTGTGCGTTTGTCTGTCTTTTTTTCTTTATAGTACTAGAGGTTGAATCTAGGACCTGTGTACTGAGTTATATTCCCCACCCCTTAAAATTTGTTTTGTTTTGTTTTGTTTGTTACCAGGGATCGAACTTGGGACCTTGTGCTTGCAAGGCAGGTGGTGGAACCACTGAGCTAAATCCTGGCTTAAAAATTAAATGTTTAAAAAATTGGGATAGTGTCTCACTAAGTTAATAAGTTGACCAGGCTCAAACTGGTGATTCTTCTGCCTTAATATTCCAGAGTGCTGGGATTACAGGCACATTTTATCATGCCTGGCTTTGTCTCAGATTTCTTAAAGGTCAAAAGAAAGAACTGATAATTTTCTAGACATACAAGACAATTATAATTGAAAAAGGAATAGATTTTTCCTAAACCTATGTCATTTGCTATTATATAAAACAGGTAAATGGGAGAAAGAGTCCAGAGTTGGTACTTAAATTGTACTAAAGGAAAATAGATTATTGTTTGTACTAGGAATACTTCAGTGAAGAAAATTAGCATAACACTGGAAGTAACTGAAGTGTTGTTGCTTTACTGGTTGCCACAAACTTTCTAGAGTCAGACACTCAAATTAGTCTGGTCAAGTCAATATAAAATTAGTGAAGGATTCCTATGAGCTATCAGAAAGCCACAATTGGACCTGGATTTATTTTAGCTCTTAGAAGAAACTTACAATACTGATTATTTTTTCAGTGAAGTGTCAATGTGTGTCACTGAAAAATGAAAACTGGCAATTCTGTGGACTTAAGCATAGAATAGAGGAGGGTTTCTTTGTGTTAGTGTTATTTTTAAATGGGGAACTAGCTGTAGGGTGGCCTGTTCAGGCAGATATAATGTGAAAGCGCTTGATAGGTGTGATTACCATGCCACAGAAGTGTGAAGTGGTGGTGGTGGTGGTGGAGGCTCCTAGAAATAGCATTTGAATCGGAAGATCTGCCCTCAAAGGACCTTCAGCAACGCTTTTTTTTTTTTACTTTATTGTGCTTCATTTGCCATACCTGGAAAATTGAGATAATGAGATTGTTTAGTTGTAATTTGTTGGTGCAATTGCTGATAATAAATGTCAGAAAACTTCATAAACACTTGTTACACTCCTTCTGTGTCCCAAGCACAGTGATTGGCCATGATTGGGTGGAGATAATTACAGAGTATAGCAGTGGTAGTGTACATCCACATTAAATGTAAATATCCAATTCCTTGTAAAACTCATTCACATTGCAGTGTTCCTTATTTCTTCTGATTATTTTAGGGTTGTTACTGCTATGTCTTACTGTGTTTATGATTTAACTTTCTTCCTCCCTCTCCTTCATGCTTTTACCTCTGACTTTTTCTGTACTTTCTAGGAAGCAATTGAAAAGAAAGAACAGCGAGCCAAACGCTTCCATTTTCGATCAGAAGTAAATCTTGCTCAGAGAAATGTAGCCTTGGACCGAGACATGATGAAGAAAGGTACAGGATGTTTTGCAGGAACTTTTTCCACGTTTCCCAGAAGAGTGACTTTTCCCTGAGACGTTGCCTCGTGCTTGCCTTTGCCCTGCATATTCTGTCCTCATCCAGGTGTCCCAAAGGAAGGGACTTGTGATGCCCCCGTTCCTAGGTCATCTGTGTAAAGTCTAAGATGCTATCAGCTGTGTCTCAGATATTAAAGCTGGAAAAAAAAAGATTGTCTTTCCTGAGGTGCCCCAGAGAATGTCACCAGTTGGTGGCAGAGATGAGATGGGAACCTATTTTTTGTGGTCTCTTAGCTCATTTTCTCCTTTTATCATAGAGGTTTTAACTTTTCTTGCCTTTAAAGGTAGTAATAATGTATCACAGTGAGACCTTTTAGGAAAGTTGGAGCAATTTTGGGATTGGTGGAAGAAAGCTATTAACACTTTTATTGATAATATGAATGTGTGGTAAATACAAACCACCCAATAATATCCTATTGTCAGAGAAAGCTAAATTAATCCTGCCCTGGGTTTTAAACTTGCCCCTGCAGTTGGATTTGCGATTTCATTTTATTTTTATTTTTTGTTTTATTAGGGTATTGTGCTCTTTAGAAATCTTGAATTATTTTTTTAGTAATCTGCTCTAGTCTTACTTAAGCAATTTATATATAAAAGGGAAAATTACTCTATTTTAGTGAGTCTGCATCTTGTTTTTCCACTCTGATATGAATCTGTGAATGCAGGAGTCTTCCTTCTGTTGTATTTGCAAATTTGTTTACAAAGGTGCTCAATAGATTGTCCTCTGAATGCACATTAGGTGTGTGCTAGTGTGTGAGTTCATGTATACTTGCCTTCTTGATAAAACAAAAAGTAAACATGTTGAATGAATAGAAGGATAGCTACTATTTGTTATAAACTTGCTTTCTTAGCAAACACTGCTAAGCATATTACATATTTATTCCTCACAGCATCCCTATGAAGGACATACATATGTGTATATGTATATTTTTCATTATTTTTTAAGAAGGAAATGGGATCCAGGAGTTTACTAAATTGCCCAGGGTTATGCAGCTAGTGAAGGTAGAATCAGGATTTCAGCCCAACTTTATCTGACTCCAAAGCCTTGGTCTTGATTCCTTTGCTCTCTTACTAAATAATATATAATATGATGCTGTAGGCTCATTTGTGTCCCTCCTCATCTGAGCACAGGGGAAAGAGTAGCTTGGATTCGTGCTCAACTCTGGAAGCTGCTTTATTCTTTTTCCTTTGTGAGTTCAAGTCGGGAACATAAGCTTGCTTTCCCTGCAGGCTGAGGTTTCCGGCGTCTTCCTGAATGGATTTCTGTTTCAGGAATAGTCCTGTGAAAACTATGGGCAGCTGTGCAACTTGGCATCCCTGTGCCTGTGCGATCTAGACTAAGCAGACCTATGAGTGTTTTCTCCCAGCCCTATAATTCCACCACACTTGTTGACTTCCAGTCCCAACCTCTGGTACTGTTCACGCCTTTCATTCTGCTCATTTGCCCTTCCTTGTCTCACCTGGTTTAGGTATCACTTCTTGCAGTGCAGCATCCCTGATCACAGTCATAATTCTTTTGCATTTTTGTTGGAACTCTTTAGAATGGCAATTTTTCCTGGAATCTTTTGTGACTGGGACACATTATTAAATCTTTTTACATTTCAGTCTCCTTGTCTGTAAAAAGGGACTGTGATAATTAATATGATCATTTGGGGGGTGGTTTTAATTTTTAAATGATTCTTTAGAGAATGAAAGTTTGGAAAAGCAATTCTGTTCTCATCATTCTGAAGATACTCTGAAAAAGACAATAGGCTCACCTGGGATGTCAGCTGGTGAAGGTTGCTCATTTTGAGGAGCAATATTAAAATGTGCCTTAGGCAGAATGTCCTAAGTTCCTAGAATACTGCCTGATAGATAGTAGTTGCCCTGTAAATATTAGTTCTTATCATTATCTGGCATTTTCTCCCTGTAAGTAGTCATCTAATTGACACAACTTCTTGGGTTAATGAGGAAGTTGGAAAAGACATCTGGACTTCTGCAGTTATACCAGGCATCAAGTTATTTTTTCTTATTATTAATGCCAACAACTATAATAAAAATTAATGTTAAATGCTGTGTTCCAGTTACTCACCTTTGTGGTTAACTTATCCTTTCAACAATTTTGTGAGAGGACGGTATTTATCATTTACATTTTACTGATAAGAAAACTAAGTTGCTGAGAGGATGAGAGACTTGCCCACGATCCCACTGATGTTTCTGAAGCCTGTGTTTCTGTTTGCCCTGCCAACATTCAGGGACACAGTTTGGAACATGGTACATCAGACTGTTCTGTGTTGAGAGACTTGCTACTTTTGAATGACTTAGTGTCACACAACTTCTATAGCCTTATCTCCAAGATCAAATCTTTCATGGTTTGAAGGGATAATAGAAGTCATCTAGACCAATCTCCTGCTGAGCTCTGAAAACCCTTTGGGTGCTTTGGCCCCTGCTGGAACATGTAGTGATAGTATAAGAACTGTTTGTGAAACAGCTAGCTTTGTCTTTGGATACCTCCTTAGAGTTAAGCATTGCTTTCTAGGAGTTACTATCTGATTATTGCTGTGTGACTCTTAGAACAACAGTGTTAAGTTCTTTATTCTTTTATATAACCCTGCAGGTAATGGAAGTACAGGTTTAGTGTCTCTTCCCTAAACTTCTGTATGTCTTGGCTTTTGGTCTCCCTCTGTTTCCAGTTTCTAAATGTCCTTCCCCAAGATGAGGTGTAGATTCCAGATATGATTGTATTCATGGAGAGAGTGTCAATACTACTTACTGTCATCTCTGGCCAGCCACTTCTTAGTGTTGTACTTATCTTGTGGTCACAGCACCCAGGTCTTTTCTCCAGGAATTGGGCGTACTGAAACAGTCTTTCTTGGGAGGTTGCCATAGGAGAATAATGAGTTTGAGGCTGGACTGGGCAACTTAGCCAGATTCCTTCTCAAAATTTATCTTTTTTTGTTGTTGTTCTGGAGATCGAATTCAGGCCCTTGTGCTTGCAAGGCAGGCGGCAGAACCCCAGCTAAATCCCTGGCCTAAAATTTCTTATCTTTAAAATTAACTTTTAATTTACCCCAACTAAATTATATCTTGTTGATTTCAAGCCTCCATTTTTAGTTTATCTTAACTCTTAACCATTTACCTTTTAGATATATTCCTCACTGTGTGTCCTCTCCATCTTAATAGCCATGGCTTCTGCTGCTTCTCCTGTTGTCAGTGAGTGTTGAACAGTATATTACCTTATCATAACGTATCATATACGTCTTACTCTGTTATCAGTCCCATATTTCATTTTATTGTCTGGAGGAACTGGATTATGATTCTTAATGAACTTGAGATAGAACATGATCTATACCTTTCTTTACCTAGTAATCCTCTCAAAAAAGAAATGACTCTGGGCATGGTGGTGCATACCTGTAATCTCAGCACTGGGGAGGCTGAGGCAGGAGGATCACTGTGAGTTTGAGACCAGCCTGGGCTATATAGTGAGTTCTAGGTCAGTCTGAACTACATAGTGAGACCCTGTCTCAAAAAAAAAAAAAAAGAAAGAAAGAAAGAAATGAGGTTAGTGTGGCTCTCTTACTAAACTTGTGTCATTTCCTATGGGAAGGATGTGTTCTTCTAAGGGATTATAGATTCTATGTAATGAGCTACTTTTTTTCTTTTTTTTTAATTTCAGGGACTGACAGTAAACTTTTCAATCTGGTTTTACAAACAGTTGATGTTCACCAAAGATAATTTGGAAAGTAGAGTAAGAAGAAAAGTTGCCCACAGTAACACCACACTGCCAACATTTTGTGTATTTATTTCTAATCCTTTTCTGAACATAGACTTTCTTTTTGTCTTTCCTTTTGTAGTCCTGCTGCTTTTTTCCTTTGTATTTCACAGGCTGTCACCAAGCTTTTCCATGTTTCTACACAGACTGAGGTCAGTCTTTCAGATTTGGGCTATTCTCGTTCTCTGCCATCATTATTTACTCTTTATCCCTTTCCCATATGTGTTTGTTCTTTGTGGGTGTGCCTCTAAGTTGTTTTTTGGTTTGTTTGTTTTATTTTTTGAGACAGGGTCTTGCTATATATCTCAGGCTGGCCTTGAACTTACTATGTAGCCCCAGGTGGCCTTGAATTCATGGTGATCCTCCTGCCTCAGCCTCCCAAGTGCTCAGTTACAGGCATGTGCCACCACACCTGGCTCATCTAAGTTTGCTGCCCTCTCTTTTCTTGGGGTCACCTTTCACATTGAGTAATTGTATTTAGTATCTTTTCACTTACTCATTCTAAATTAAGGCCTTCGAGTTGACTATTTTTTTTCTCTAGATTTTTTGAAAGCTGCTTTCCCAAAGACTTGAGTTCTGGGTTCTGCTGTGTGTCATTTGTCATCTTTCCTGTTAGAACATCCAGGGTGACACCCAGAGCCCCTGGCATGCATTCGGCACTTGGTATCTGTGCAGTTCCCATCCTCCAGTAGATCTATTTTACTACCCCCTCAGCACTGGCCCTTTCTCCTTGGTTGGGCATAGCCTTGCAGCCTTCTTTGTTGCTTTGTTGTATATCACAGTGACGCTATCAGTGAGGTGAAGGTCTTCTCCTTCAGTGGTCTTCTCCTGCATTTTGATTTTATCAAAGTTCCCAACTGTACTGGATCTTTCTTGTACTGTTGGTTTGGTTCTTTTGAGAAAGATCCTTCTTTTCTACCAGCTAATTGAGACTGGTTTATCTCTGTAGTGATAGTGCTTTTGCCTCTCTCTCTCCCCCATCCCTAACCTGTGCCTTTGCCTGCTTCTTTTGAACAAAATTATACATTACCTAAGTTTTGATATGTATACCATTCTGTCTAAATTAAAATAAACATCTTTGGCCAGAAGTCTTGTTCTTTACAATCTTTTCCTTCTGTGTTTAAGCTCTTGATTTGGTGGGGGGGTCATTTGTTTGGTGTTTGTTTTTTTTGCCTGCTCATTTAAATTCTTTTTATCCGATCAGTAAGTCTTCTGTCACAGGGATGGTGGCACACACCTATAATCCCAGCACTTGGGAGTCTGAATCCAGAGGATTGCAGTGAGTTTGAGGCCAGCCTGAACTACAGAGCAAAGCCAAAACCAAAACCCAAACCCCAAGTCTTCTATCTTCTTACATGATGTTTTCAAATTTTCAGTGTGTTTCCTCCCATGTCACTTCCCATTCTGTGGTTTCTGTGGAACCATCTCTTGACTTCTCATAGGCTCTTTTTTCTTCCAAAATCATGCTTTCAGCTCAGTGAACTAAGGTGTCCCCCTGTGCTGACTCAAATCTTGTTTCCCATTCTGCATTTCCATCTCTGCTCATCACGCATCACGAGTGAGGAGGACTGGGTAGGGTTCGTGTTGTGAGGGTGTCTCGTCTTTATGAATCTGACTGTCAAGGAAATAGTCTCCTGACTTATTCTGGCTGTACTTACAGGGGCTTCCATGAAACCCACCTCTTATTCTCCAGAATGGAATGACAGTACAACCATTTACTATTGTTCTTATTTTTAAGTGTTTGTATGTGTTTTTTTTAAAATAAAAGTAATGTGTAGCAAATAAAAATATGCTTGGTAATTGCTTTTCTTACAGGAGTGATTTGTATTTCTGTGATGATTAGTGTGTTGAACATTTTTTTCATATACCTGTTAGCCATTTGTATGTCTTCTTTTGAGAAGTCTTTATTTAGGTCTTTTACTTCCCTCCCCCATTGATTTTACAGTGTTGGAAATCATACTCTGCTTACTACATACCAGACACAAATGCTTTACCACTGGGCCACATCTCTGGTCTCTCTATATTTTAATTGGATTATTTGATTATTTATTTATTTATTTATTGGTACTTGGGTCCTGGTGCTTGCACTTTGATTTTTTTTTTTTTCCCCTGTTGAGATTGGTTTAGAAGTATTTTCTCCCATTCTGTAGGTTGTGTCTTCATTCTTGTTTCCTTTGGTGTGCAGAATTTTGTTAGTTTTATGTAATCGTACTTGTCTATTTTAGTTTTTGGTTCCTATGTTTTGGGGGTCTTATCCAACAAATCTTTTCCCATTTCAGTATCCTGATGTGTTTTCCCTGTTTTCCTCTTTCTAGTACATAGTGTCAGTGTTCCAGGTGTTACATTTAAGTCTGTAGTCCATTTTGAGTTGATGATAAGTGCTGATGAGGATGTGGAGAAAAAGAAATCTTTGTACACCATTGATGGGACTATAAATTAGTATGGCCACTATGGAAAACAGTATGGAGGGTCCTCAGAAAATTAAAAATCTGTCTACTTTTTATACACCAGAAGGAAATGAAATCAGTATGTCAAAGAGATATCTGTACTCCCTTGTTGGTTGCAGAACTGTTGACAGTTGCTAAGATGTGAATGAAGTTATGTGTCCATCAGCTGATGAATGGATAAAGAAAATGTATATACTATTCAGCCATTAATATAAAGAATGAAATTCTGTCATTTGAGGCAGGATGGATGTAATTAGAGGTTGTTATGTTAACTGAAATAAGCCAGGCCCAAAAAGACAACTACCACATGATGTCACTCATATTTGTTTGTTTGTTTTGTTTTTTGGAGACAGGGTCTCACTATGTAGTTGAGACTGACCTGGAACTCACTATGTAGCCCAGGCTGGTCTCAAACTCACAGTGATCCTCCTGCCTCAGCCTCCCGAGTGCTGGGATTACAGGCGTGCATCACCATGCCCAGCTATTTGTCACTCATATTTGGAATCTAAAAAAAAAAGTTGAACTCATAGAAGTAGAGAGTCAAATGGTGGTTACCAGAGCCTGGGAGATCAGTGAGGAGAGGGAGAAGAGGAGGGGCTGATCAGGTGATACACAGATAAATAGGAGCAAGCTCTGCTGTGGTATTGTACTGCAGGGTACTGTAGATAGCGATTATGTGCTGTATATTTCAAAAGGCTAAGTTATGAAAAGGATTTGAATGTGTTCACCATTAAAAAATGATAGATATTCGAGGAGACAATTAAAAAGAAAACGTGTTTGGGAGTAATGGACACTGAATTCTTGACAGAATTACTTCAGAAAAGGAAGGGATGGGAACATGGAGAGATTACAGGGGCCCTAGTTTTATATGGGATGTTTTATTTGCCTGAGATGTTTTAAGGAATGAAAAATAAAACTAAGGCATTTAAAAATTCTTCTTGATATATTTGCATGTTTTTCTAGTTAAAAGGTTAAATGAGATAACATACTTTTAAGTTATTTGGTAAAAACACAGTCCTGATAAGGCAAGGTTTATTTATTTATGTATTTATTTGTACCTGGATTGAACTCGGGACCTTGCCCTTACAAGGAAGGCGTGGGCACCACTAAGCTAAATCCCTGGCCCCTGGGCAAGGTTTCTTTTTGACCACAGCTTGTCAACCTCTTTCCCTTTCCAGAGGTAACAACTATTGTTAATGTAGTATGATACTGTTCCATCCTTTTTTCTAGGTTGTGTACACAAATACATACCCTTACAAAGTGCTTGTTGTTCTGTTTTTTATTTTAATGCCATTACATTGTATGTAATTTCTACAACTTGGATTCTTTGTGGTGGTTTTGTTTTCCCCTGTATTGGAGATTGAACTCGGATTTTTCACTGAACTACATTTCTATTCCTTTTAAAAACGTTTTATTTTGACATAAGTTGCTGCTAAGTTGCGGAATTACCCAGGCTGGGCTTGAACTTGAGATCCTCCTGCCTCAGTCTCCCAGAGTGCTGAGATTACAGATATGCACCGCTATACCTGGTTTACAACATTTTTGTGAGCTACTTTGTGAACCTCTGTGTGTGATTTAAGGTGGATACTGAGGAATGGAGTTCTTGTTCCTGTGTGCTCTGTCTTGGTTTGCCCTTCAGAGTAGCTGCACAGTTCATACTCCTGCTGGCAGTGGGAGTAACTTTTCCGACACACAGCCAACACTTAATTTAAAAGATAATCTCCTCTGTGAAAACTGGTATCTTCTTATTTTAATGTAAATGTCCTTGATTAGTAAGAAGGTCAGTCCCCTTCTCTTCATGTATTTGTTTATTAGCCTTTTGTATTTTCTTTTGTGTAAATTGCCCTTCTTTGTCCTTTGCTCATTTTTATTTTTATTTCGGATTGTTGTTTTCTTATTGATTGGTAGGATTTTTTTTTGACCCAGGGCTTCTCTGCCACTGATCTACAATCTCCACCCCAGTATATTTTTAGTAAGAAGGTCAGTCCCCTTCTCTTCATGTATTTGTTTATTAGCCTTTTGTATTTTCTTTTGTGTAAATTGCCCTTCTTTGTCCTTTGCTCATTTTTATTTTTATTTCGGATTGTTGTTTTCTTATTGATTGGTAGGATTTTTTTTTGACCCAGGGCTTCTCTGCCACTGATCTACAATCTCCACCCCAGTATATTTTTTACGGCGATCCCCCTGCCTCAGCCTCCCAAGTGCTGGGATTACAGGAGTGAGCCACCATGCCCGGCCTGTATTTTTATTTTGAGACAGTTTCACTAAGTTGGCCAGGCTGTTTAAATTTGGCAATCATCCTGCCTCAGTGTCTGAGTAGCTGTTGCAGGAATGTGCTACCGTGCCTAACTATAGTTTCTTTATACTAGTTTCATGCTTTGATATACCCAGGGACGGCATCTCTTCTTTTGGATCATCCCCACTTACTGCACATTTCTCTTTGACAGGTATTTAAAAAATCTTAGAACCAGCTTGTCAAGTTCAGAAAATAATCCTTTTGAGTTTGATATTACTTTGATTACTACTACAGATTAACATGGGGAGAGGTATTTTACCAATACCATTTGTTTAATCTTTCTTAGCCTACCATGATTGTTCTGAATTAAGAAATTTTTAATGTTGTTTAGTAATAAAAATTAAGTTTTAATGACTGTCTCTCATGTTCTTTTGAAATAACTCATTTTTTTGGACATATCTCTTTTCTAAATAAGTTTTCTTTGAACTGTTAATTAAGGTGTATTAGTGAGATGTACAGTAGCAAGTGGGGAAATTCTCTCATTTTTTCTATGTCTTGTTTTTCTAGCAATTCCCAAAGTGAGACTGGAGACAATCTATATTTGTGGAGTAGATGAGATGAGTACCCAGGATATCTTTTCCTATTTTAAAGAATATCCTCCAGCTCATATTGAATGGTTGGATGATACCTCCTGTAAGTATACTTAAGTTTTCTGTTGACTGTACCTTTATTTATGACTTTCAAAGAGTTCTTACTGTCCAAAATGGTAAATAATTATAGCCTAAACTACTTGTTTATGCCTAACCTTTACCCTAGGAGAAAACAAAACAAAACAAAACATTGCTTATTGATGAGAACCAGCATGCCTTAACTAGTCTGCCAACTCATACCCAGTGGGTATTCCAGGTCAGCTCAGAGGTAATTCCCCAGACTCTAAGGAGGTTGGTCACTGGCATCTGGGTCTTGTGTACATTACTGAGGGCTCTTTCAACATCCACAGTTCCCCCGTAGAGTGATCGTCCAACTATGCAGATTTTTGTTTGCATTTTTAGGCCTCTCGACTTTGTCATTGTGATTTCCCATTTAGTTGGGGTCTTTTCGTTGTTGCTTTTTTTTTTTTTTTTTTTTTTTTTTTTTTAGATTGAGCTCAGGATGTTGCACTTGCCACACACACACTGTGCCGCTGGGATACATCCCCGGCCTCCCATATAGTTATTAAGAGGGTTTTCTCTGCCTCAGTGTCTCTGATCTAGAACTAGTCCGGAGTGTTCTAACATTGTACAAGACTGCTCATCTCTAATTGCCTTGCACTCTGCTTTCTGGGACATCATCTGCTTGCTCTAACCTGGGAGTTGTCCATTGTGAGCCAGCTGTAATATCTGACTTGCTTCTACTCAGTCTGGTCTGATCTCTGATTACCACTTTGCTTACTTCTTGTCTTGATTAACCTGTAGCCTGACTTTACTTGTTGCCAACTGTCTGACCTACTAGGTGGTGCCCTCAATAGCAGCTGATTTGATGTTGATTTAGTGTTTTCATTGAAAGAAGAAACATGACTGAATAAAAGGGTTTTTTCCATTTTTCTTTCTGTTTAACTTACGCTCTCTAAATCAAGGGTCAGTAATTTGTTTTCTGTAAAGAGCCACATAGCAAATACTTTAGGCTTTATACTTAAATACATTAAGTCCCCAACTTAGGAGTGAGTTCTGTTCTGGGAGTAGGAATTCATTGGTAAGTTTCACAAAGTCAGTCTTAAACACTTTTGATAGAGATATTCGATGTATATTGCTTTGGGAGTTCTAGCAGTTCGCTGTACATCACCACTGCTTTTCCTCTTGCTTCTGGACATCCTGATCGAACACTGTACTACTGTACATTGTGGCACTGTACAGTAAGCACTCAGCAACACAACTGTGGTGTCTGACAGGCATGTGAGCTACTGTCGAGATTTGTTTGCATCTATGAATGTTTGTAATGCAAGGTTTGTTAGTATCTGAAAGTTTGCAACTTGAATACTAATAAGTTAGGGACTTGCTGTAAATCTGTTACCAAGAAAGATATGTAACAGGTGAAGGGCTGAATTTGTCCTGTGGGTTATAGTTTGCTAGCCCTTGATTTAAGATATTAAAATTATTGCTAAGGGATGTTAAAGAGTTGGAGGGTCCTTTAGAATTATACAGTTCAACTTCCTCATATTTTACATCACAAACTAAAAGAGAAAAAATGAAACTGGAAAAACAGAAGGAAAATTATTTGGCTATCACTACATAGCATGTTAACAAAAGAAGTAAAATTCCTTAAATTGAGGTCCAAGGAAAACATTATTTTGAGAAATGTCATATAAAATAGTTTCTTTTCTACAAGAGTTTTTGTGTTAGTTACTTTTCTCTCATTGATGAGACAAAATACCTGACACCTGGGCTGGGGATTTAGTTCAGTGGTACCATGCCTGCCTTGTGAGCACAAGGTCCTGAGTTTAATCCCCTGTACCAAACACACACACACACACAAACACACACACACACACACACACACACACACACACACACACACAAAACTGACACCCAAAGTTAAAGGGGGAAAGGTTTGTTTGTCTTACAATACATAGAGGTTTCAGTCCATAACCAGGAGGCTCCAAGGCAGAGTAGAAGAGGTACAACAAACAGTTCATGGCAGCAGAACACAGCAAAAGCAACAAGAGACTTTAACAGCATCTTTCTGCCCCTTTTATTTTACTCAGACTACTGGGATTAGGGCAGTGCCAAGCCAGTCACTCATGTGTGGTGATTTAGTAATCACACACCCTTAATCGTAGCATCACACATTCCAGATTCACCCACCTGTGACTGCATGAGGCTTTGGGGGGATATGTAGACCCAAACCATAACACTTCTCAGATCTTTTTTCTTACTTCATTTCCCTAAAGGGGTAACTTAAATTAATTGCTACCAAGCCAAGTAGCTATTTTGTCTCCATTGTACATATCCTGTGATTACCTTCATTGACCACACTATGATATGGGAACATCGTTTAGTGTGTCAGATGATGAAAAATAGCAGAGAGCTCCCCTGCAGGGGGCAGTAATATAATAATCCAAATTTATTTAGCAGTTGTCATAATCAAGGACTACTAATATTTTGCCAGGCATGATAGTCTGAGCCTGTAGTCCCACCTTTTCAGGAGGCTGAGGCAGGAGAATTACTAGAACCCAGGTATTTGAGGCCAGTTTATGCAAAATCACAAGACTCCATTGAAAAGAAAGAAAGGAGGGGCCGTAGATTTAGCTCAGTGGCACAACGCCTGCCATGCAAGTGCAAGGTCCTGAGTTCCATCCCTGGTACCAAAAAAAAAAAAAAAAAAAAAAAAAAAGAAAGGAAGGAAGGAAGTGCTAACATTGTGTTAGCACTCTCTGTGTTCTTACTCCCCCCGCCCCGTACTGGCGATCAAACTCAGGACCTTGGACCTTGTGCTTGTGAAGCAGGCAGTGGCACCACTGAGTTAAATCCCCGGCCATCTCTTAGTTTTAATATATAGAATCTTTTTTCTGGAATACTTAACGACTGTTTTGTGGAACTTAGCTTGAGAATGTAGTTCTAGACTGAGTTCTTCAAAGAGGTTTTGCCACCACCTTCATACTTCTCATTAGCTGGTTTATACACTTACTGATAACAGTCTGTATCTAGATAAGTCTGTCACAGTTTGCATACTGTGTGATTTTATTTTACATCTTATTTTAGGTAATGTAGTTTGGCTGGATGAAATGACAGCCACACGAGCCCTTATCAATATGAGCTCTCTGCCAGCCCAGGATAAGATAAGAAGCAGGGATGCCTCTGAAGACAAGTCATCTGAGAAAAGTAAAAAAGGTAACAACACAAAGAAGGGACCTTTGGCTTGAAAGTCCTTTTCTTTACGTAATCTTTTTTGGAGTCTTATGTTTCTAAGCAGAGTATTAGATAGCATCTCATCATCAGATGTCTTTGAAATAAACTATGACGTTTTGGATTACTAGTAAGTAGAAGTAGAAAATACTGGACTTTTAAAATTCTATGAGGCCGGGCGTGGTGGCACTTGCCTGTAATTCCAGCACTCAGAGGCTGAGGCAAAGATGAGTTCAAGGCCAGCCTGGGCTATAGTGAGTTCAAAGCTAGCCTGGAATACATATTGAGACCCTGTCTCAAAAAAACTAAAACTAAAAATAAATAAAAAATGAATAAAATTATAAAATGGAGTTATGTTAAGGTGCATCTTACCCTTCATCTTCCATTTTAGACAAGCAGGAAGATAGTTCTGACGATGATGAGGCCGAAGAAGGAGAAGTTGAAGATGAGAACCCAAGTGACGTAGAGGTTAGTACTAGGGAAGAAATATCTATAACAATTTATTGGTAAAATATTGTTTACTCTCTTTTTAAACATATGGCTTAAATAAGACTTAGTAAGTTGTGTTCTTCCTCTGTCTTTTCCATGAGATCTTCTGAGGGTGCATCCGGCTCTTGATCTTGAGCTTGTGTGAATGTAACATCATTTATTTTTATTTATCTTATTGTTTTTAGTTTATTGGTACTTTTTAGGTATACAGTATAGTTGCATTCATCATTGGGATCTTGTACCTCTGTATGATGTATCTTGGTTCTCATTTTTTACCCATATCCCTGCCCTCTCTTCACCCCCTCAACCTGAATGTAACAGTTTATCTTGAGATGTTAGAATACTACTCATACTTCTGCATAAAAGATGACTTTATTGAGAAATACTTTGAAGTGTTATCTAATTAATTTAGCCTTTTTAAAAAAGGCATTATCTAATTAATAAGATTAAGGAAGAGCAAGTAGAATTAGAGATATAGTCCAATGTAGAGTACCTTCTTTCTATGTATGAAGCCCTGTGTTTGATCCCCAGCCCCAAAAACAAACAAACAAAAAAGGACAAGTAATGACATTTCCTACTGGGTTAGGTACTATTGTTAGAAATATTAGAGTGTACTTATTCTAAATATTAAGTACCTATTATGAACCAATCTCTTAAGTACTAGAGATAAGCAAAACAAAGTCCTTACCCTCTTGGAACCTGCATTCTAATGAGAAAGACAGACAGTACACAGATGCATAGATACATAATGTTAGGAGGTGATAAGTGCTATCAAGGAAAGTCAAGAAGGTTTAAAGGGATAAAGAATGATGGAGATTATTCTTTTAGACAAAGCAGATAGGGAAGCCTTCTGGCTTTGAAATTTTACAGAATTAGTGCTGTAATGCTGGTGAGTATTAAAGGTCTACTATTTGTCTACTGAATAAATTTTAAAAAGGCTTTCATCCTAGGGCTGGGGATTTAGCTCAGTGGTTCCACTGCCTGCCTTGCAAGCGCAAGGACTTGAGTTCGATCCCTGGTACCAAAAAAAAAAAAAGCTTTCATCTTTACATTGAAAATG